CTGCAGCCCCAGCTGTCCTGGAACTCACTATGTAGACCAGGCTGGCCTTGAATTCACAGAGATCCGCTTGCCTCTGCCTCCCGAGTGCTGGGACTATAGACATGCGCCACCACACCCGGCTTACCTTCTCTTTTTCCCCCTTCCACTCCAATGATCCCCTTTCTCTTTCCAACTAGTCCTTTTCTACTTTCAAGCCTTTTTGCTGTTGTTGTTGATGATGATCCAATTAGTTTTATTACAGTTGCGTATAGGAGCATAGGTGAGGGTTTATTTTCAGAAGTGTGGACACCTTGCCAGTGGCTACACCACTGAAGAAAATGTCTCTCTCTTCCAGCAACCATTAACTGTGTAGAAGTCTTCAGGGAGGGGTGGGGCTTCATAAGCCCTCCTCTCTCCAAGACAGGTCCAGTCTTATGCATGTCTTATGCAGATAATCACAGAGTGCAATGGCCATGTCATGCCCAGAAGACAGTGTTCCACAATACTCCACCATCTTCCTCCAGTTCTTACATTCTTTCTTCTGTAATGTCCTCTGAGCCTGAAAGGAAGGTGATTATAGATGTCCCCCTCATGGCTGAGCACTCAGTAATGACATCTTCTCATTTCTTTGACCAGTTATGAATCTCTGCAGTATTTCTGCCCACTGTAAAAAGAAGTCTCTGACCAAAGCTGACTGCAGTACCTGTCTATGGGCATAAACATAAGTATTTAGAAGGCAGTTTGTTGTCTTTTTATTTTAATGGAAATCTCAAATTTCAGAAGTTTTCTGTCTCCACTTCTACTTCTTTATGGTCTGTGACCTTGCTGGTTTTATTTTTGATACTTGAAGTATATATTGATCTTGTTTTCCACTTTTTAAGTTTTTCTTGAAAGTAGTCCAAGGTACCTATTTTTAGTTTCTATTTGCCTTTCATATGGATGAAAAAGATACTGAAATATTTCAGTAAATCTGTGTGTCATCCTTGCTTGGGGACAATGCTACTAATCTCTATATTGTTCCAATTTTAATATATGTGCTACCAAAATGAGCACAAGAAAATTGTGCTTTAAAAGTTACTTTAGCCAGGTGTGGTGGTGCATGCCTTTAATCCCAGCACTTGGGAGGCAGAGGCAGTTGGATCTCTGTGAGTTCAAGGCTGGCCTGGTCTACATAGTGAGTTCCAAGAGAGCTGGGGCTACTGGAAGACCCTGTCTCAAAAAGACCAAAAAAAAAAAAAGGTACTTTAAAAAATAAGGCCATAGGATTCTAACTACCTTTGAAAGTTCATATAAAAAAATTTGTAGAAATTTGACTAAAAACTTTTAATCTATTTATTTTTCCAGTTTTAATGGGAAATTTACACTAATGTAACTGATATTTACATGAACCAAACATTCTTAAAGCCTAGCTTTAAGGTGATAGAGAGGATAGGTGAAGTTATCAAATGAAGAGAAATTATAGATCATAATATTATGCATGGCTTTTGGACAGTATTATGTCGGAGGTTCATTGCCGCATTCCATCACATTTCATAACCTGTTGGGAAATGTGTTAGCTGAAATAAAATTGCAAATAGCTGTGAAAATGGCTGAGTGCCTGACATTTTAAGCAACATATAAAGATTGAGTCCTGACTGTCACCTACAATGTGAGAAGAACTAATAAGCATCTTTGAATTTTAGGTTAATTTTACATGTTTTTAGATATCTTGAGCTGTAAGATTTTCATGTTCGCTACTTATTTTTACTATAAAAATCCCTGTATTTTGCTCTTATTTGTAGCTGCATGAGTTTTGTTTTGTTTCGTTTTGTTTTGTTTTCATTTGAGGGGCTGGAGAGTTAGCTAGCAGTTAAGAAAATTTGCTGTCCATTCATAGGACCCAGGTTTGATTTCCAGCACCCACATGGCAGCTAAAAACTATCCATAACTCAAGTTCCAGGGATCTGTCACCCTTTTCTGGTCTCTGCAGGCATTGCACCCATATGATACACATACATACATGCAGGCAAAAGACTCATAAACATAAAATAAAAATAATAAATATTAAAAAATTTTGTTTGATCATTTTGATCACCACCTACTAGTTCTTACCTTTGCATATTAATTCAGTTTTCTAAATGATATTTTGGAAGTTTGGTAGCAGTTATACTTATTAATAACTTGGATTTTTATCCCCTTTTCACATAGAGAAACAAACACAATTTTAGGGGAAAGGAAATAGTACATTTTTCTCCTTTCTTTTTCCATTTCTTTATTCCTGAATAGACAGGTGGTGGTCTTTTAAGTCATTTGTAAGTTTTAGAATTTGTTTTGATCAAATCAGATAATTAAAAGTGGAGAAATCTCGAGTTTTTCATCTAATAAGTGAAAATAACATTTTGGGAACTGATTGCATTTGAATGCTTGTTTCATAATCATTACATGCCTATTTATGATTCTCAGAACTTTGGTAAGGAAAAATAAAGTCCTTAAGGTATAAGGTAGGGGAGTGGGTTTGTGTGCGTGCGTGTGTGTGTGTGGGTGTGGGTGTGTGCACCAGTGCATTAGAGTACTCTGTTTTGTCTCAGCTCAGGTGTTCATAAGAACAAGAATGTAGAATGCCTGTCCTTAACTTTAAATGCACTTTTATGTGTAATTTACTTGTACTAATATGTAAAGTAAAAACAAGTTTGGATTCCCCTTATCTTTATTAGTAATGTTTAAAATACAGCTATTTTAGCACATGTGACATGTTGTTGCTGTGTTCCTGCGTATTTCATTTAAAAATTTAATCTCCTGCCTCTTTAAAGTGGTGAAATAGTTCCTGATGGACCAGACAGCCAAATGAGCTGTCTTTTCATGTAAGTATTATAACAAAGGACCAGGTGGTTAAAAGGGGAATATGTTAGGTTTATTTAGCTCCCCATGTGAAGCTCGAGTTTAGTAGTAGCTGTGTTGCTCTCCATCTTTTTATACAAATGAAGCAAACTAAAAGATTTTTAATGTTTTTTATTTGAATAAAAAAATTATGAAAATGAACAATCTGTATTTTAAATCACCAAATAGTGGAAAACCTTGTCTAGTGACCATACTGGAGTAGTTAAAATTTTTCTAAAAATTTCCATAAACCAGTGGGGAAAAAAAGAATAATCTGGCTTAATAACCTCTACATTTTTCTAAAGTCTTAAATCACAATTGCAAATAAACATTGGGTGAAGTTGGACAACGGTGGCTCATGCATGTAGTACCAGCACGTAGGAGGCTTAGGCAGAACCACAAATTTGAAGTCAGCCTGGGGTAACTTGTAAGACTCTGTCTCAAATACAGTTAAACCAAAACCAAAAGTGGATAGAACAATTTCTTTATGCAGTTCTTGCTTGACCTTTAATAATCTGGCAGGTATCACAGTCCTAGAATTCAGGGTTCCCTTTTACTTTCATTACTATTAGATACTTCTATATAAATGGAAACATTTTTCCTCAAAGCATTAATTCGAAACATACTCCTTATATTAAGGATTATATAACCACATTTTTGTAAATGCCCTGTGTGCCACTTTTTCCTATTATGTGGTTCCTTTTCAATTAATTTGATTTTCTGCTGGTGTAGGGGCCAATAGATTTGTGAATATTCTGTGGACGTGTCCATGTACAAGTGTATATATACACATATATATTTTCAAGCTAATACCTCAGATGTATGATTGTTTAACATATACCACACTGTTTGCACAGAGCAGGGCTTCCATTAGCAGTGGGTGTTTTTATTTCTAATTTTGAAAATTAGTCCATAGACTTTCATTGGTGTGAAATCTTTCTGTTGACCTTTTTCATGTTTTAATGTAGAGATTCCTATTATTAAGGCCATAACTTCAAGTACAAGTATATCTTTCTAAATGTGGTAATGCAGAAATAAGTAATGGTAAGAAGTGTTTCTTGGGGTATCTCAGTTTAATAAGTAATTAAAAAATCAGGGTGACTGGGTGCCAAGACGTCTAGTACTGCATAGTAGGTGAGAGATACCTGACTTGAGTGCAAGCACTCTTACTGATTTCGGCAAAAGAACCATCAAGATAGCAAGGAGTTTTTCAGTCACATTGTAGTATTTTCATCATTATCTTCAAGGTGAATTTTTAGTTGGAAGACTAAAACAAGAAAAAAAATGATATTTGTAACATTTGTTTCAAGAAATACTTTTTTTGCTTTATTTTTGGGTTTTAGATTGCTATGTAAGACTTCCCATTTCAAGTGTTTGTTTTTTGAAGCTGCAGGTAATTTTCAAGGTGTGATGGAAATTTTCAAGTTCAGATGAGATTTTAATGGAAGCCTTGTGATACTGGTAAAGGAGATCTTTGTCGATAGTGCATTCAAGATCATATAACTAGGTTTAAAACTGAAAGGTCTGATTTGTAAAATATTTAATGTTATATCAGGCTTATGTAAGATTTTCTGTGTGAGAACTCTTAAACTACTTTTGATTTTTAATGAATGTTCTAATGAATGATTTATCATTTTTTGTCTTCAGTCTCTGTAATTTATCTCAATATATTAATAAAAAGGAGGGTTGTTCTCACCACAAAAGTTGCCTTTATCGTATTTTATACTCTGGATATGTTCATTATTTCATTCATTTAACCATTCATAAATGTATGAATGCCTGCTATATCATAGGTAATGAGCAAAGTGTCAGGAACTAGTCATTGATCAAGACAAAGTTCTTTAGAAATTTACATTTAGGGCTCAGTGGTTAAGAGTACTGACTACTCTTGCAGAGAACCCAGGTGACAGCCATTAACTCTCTTGACTCCTGGATCCCCTGGAAAGGGGATCCAACACCCTCCTCTGACATCTGGGGGGGCTTGTGAGACATGGGTGCACTTACACACATGCAGGCCATACATTCATACACATAAAATAAATAATAAAATATTTTTAAATAGAAGTTTACATTTAACCAAGAAAATATTAGGCAAATAGTTTTAATTTTGATAATTGTGGTAAAGAATAATAAGGTACAGTAAAAACATCTAGACTACTAGATCAAGGTTAAGGAAGGTTTCTCCAAGAATGAACTTAAGCTGAAAACCAAAAGACAAAAATTAAAATGAGGTGAATGTTAGAAAAATATTTCATGCAGCAGGTGCTAACTGATGTCATTACAAAAACTTTACGTGTGTGATAATTATAGTGTAATAACTTGTGTGATAATTATAGTGTAAGAGACCCATAGGCAAGAGACTTAAGATTGGGGCACTGTCTTCAGAAGACCATACTCGAACCATGGTGATGGGACTGGACTTGGTCCTAAGTCAGTTGTCAAAAAACATAGATGTTTAAAGGAAGAAGTTACATTATCAGATTTGCATTTTAGAACATCATTTTAGGTGCTGTTTGAAGGTTGATGGCAAAGACAAACATAGGAAGCATAAGAAGTTATTGTCAAAAGACAGATGAGCATAGCTTAAACTAGGGCAGCAATATACAAGAATGATTTTAGGGTATTCTGGAAGCAGGAGCAAGATAACATTGATTGGACTTGGGATATTGGGCAGCAATAATGAAAAGCCAATCTCATTTCTTTTTTTTTGAATGTTGCTGTGAGAAGGGAAGAAGATGGTGGCAGCTGGAAGACGATGTGGCTTTTACAGAAGACTTTTCCATTTTTATTACATGGAAGACCTTACTCTTTTTCTTGATGGAAAATGGCAAGTCAAAAGTCGAGTGAAAATAAAAAGGGATAATAGCATCAAGTACCTAATATGGCCAGAAAATGTTCAAGTTCTTTTGCAAAGAATTACTTTGCCAGCATTCTTTCAAAAAGGAATGCACAAAGGACAGGTTCAAATACAGATAAATCTGTAGTGGTGGCAGTGCAAAATGTCATCACTTTGCGTTTCTTAAAACAAGAGCAGTTTTTGTAAGGTGGAGGGGGCGGGTAAGCAGAAGCCAAGAAAAAAATGAAGGAATCGTTTTCACTTAATCACCTAACAGGATTTCTGTGGGTTCCAGATCACTGACAATTTAAAGTCCTGTAGATTTTTTTTTCCCAACCAATCTAACATCACTCAGAAAATAAGAGTCATGTTTATATAAGGTTGAATCAATTTGGCTACAGTAGAGAATCTCCATTAGAATGCAGTCAGATAAAACAGTATGTTATGGGCTGGGCGTAGTGGCACACGCCTTTAATCCCAGCACTGGAGAGCCAGAGGCAGGCGGATCTCTGAGTTCAAGGCTAGCTTGGACTATATAGCAAGTTCAGGCCAGCTGGGACTACAGGGAGACCCTGTCTCAAAAAAGACCAAAAAAAAAATCTTTAAGTGTATTATGGCTACATTAAAGACTGAAAACTTTATCATTATCTGCAGTGATAAGTGATACATTCCTAAAAGTTTTTTTGAGCAGCTAGTATAGTTTTAGTGAGTTTTGTTTTCTGCCCTTAATTGGCCATGTACTTTGGATTTTAAGTATCCCCAAAGATTCCTGTGGCAAAAACCTTGATCACTATTTTGTTGCTCCTGGGGGCTGGTGGGAACTTCCAAGAGAAGGGGCCTGGTAGGAAGTCTTCAGGTCACCAAGGGAGTATGCCTTAACTGTGATTGGGGACGGGGGGTGGGGGGGGGTGCAGGCGTGATGGTGCATGCCTTTATTCCCAGCAGAGGTGGATTTCTGTGAGATCAAACTCAGCCTGATCTATATAGTGAGTTCCAGGCCAGCCGTGGCTACCAGGAGACTCTGTCTCAAAAAAGAAAAAAAGGCGATTGTGGGGACTGAAGAGACGGTTCAGCAGTTAAACACACTTCCAGAGAACCTGAATTTTGTTCTCAGCACCACATCGGGTGCCTCACAACTGCCTGTTAGGTCTAACTTCAGGGGATCTGATGCCCGCTTCTGGCTTCTGCAGGCACCTGCACTCACATGCACAGACACTCAACTATATACATAATTAAAAATAAATATATTTTTTTGTCTTTTTGAGACAGGGTCTCCCTGTAGCTCCAGCTATCCCGGAACTCACTATGTAGACCAGGCTGACCTCAAACTCACAGAGATCTGCCTGCCTCTGCCTCCCAAGTGCTGGGATTAAAGGTGTGTGCCACCATGCCTAGCTAAAAATAAATAATTTTTTAAAATCTTATTTTATGTGTATGAGTGCTTTGATGGCATGTTAAGTGCCCCATGTGTGTACAATGACCCAGAGAGGCCAGAAGAGGGCGTTGGATCCCCTAGAACTGGAGGTACAGATGGTTGTTAGCTGCCATATGGGTGCTGGGACTCAAACCCAGGTCCTCTGGAAGAACAGCAAATGTTCTTACAACTGAGCCACCTCTCCAGACCCCAAAATCTTTTCTTTTTAAAGGTGATTGTGAGACCCAGGTCTTTTTTTCTTCCTTCTTGGCCATGAGGTGAGCTCCATAATGTACCCACACCTCGATGTGCCGCCACAAAGCAATGGGACCAATCAGTCATGAACGGAAACATCTTAAACTGTGACTCAAAACTAATTTGATGATTCAAGTGACTAACATAGGTGGCTATTACCTTAATTTCACTGAACAGAAATAATGTTTTCATTCAAGAACTGGAGAAAAATAATAGATGCAAAATCCATTGATAGAGAAGACAGGATACAAGGAAAGAAAAGTCCATCAAATACAATTTGCTGACTTAGAGAGTTATGATACCAGTACAACACTATCAGAAGAAATGGGTTTATTAGTGCTTTTAGAACTTTTGGGTTGGAACAGAGAGACAAAAAAGAAACATCCGACATTGAGTAAGCAACGGAGAAATGTAAAGACAGGCACAGATGAAGTGGAGATTCAGGACAAGTTCTCGTGATACTGTGGACAGAGAAAAACAGAACAGACAAGCAGGAAGAGTTAGACCAGAAGGAGTGGGGACTGGAATGATGTTTCTCAGTGTTTCCCAGGTAAGAAACTGGGCCAAGCATAGTAATTAACACACAGGAGGCAGAGGCAAGTAGATCTCTGATTTCAAGGTCAGCTTGGTCTACAGAGTGAGTTACAGGGCTACATAGTGAGACCCTATCTGTAAAACAAATAAACAAACAAAAAATGAAAGATTTGAATAAAGAAAAGTGATGTTTAAGGATGTCCTCAGTGTCTCAACTATAATGATTTGTAATAATTTGGGGGTGATTTGTTGAGCCAAGTAGTTAACAGTTTCATCTCAGACAACCACAGAAAGTAACTATGACTTTTCCGTTGTCTTGGAGAATTGGTTCTTTTTATACCCTACTTGTAGGGACAGAAATGAAGATTAAGCATAAATTTCCATAGATCTCATTCTTTTCAAGATGCACTACTGTTTTGAATTAGAGAAAATCTGCAACTATAGGCATACACTTCAGTTTTCTTAGAAGGCTAAGACAGTTCTCCACTGGGGTGAGACTTTGATCCCAGATGATTTCCTATTGTCATAAGAAGGTTTGCTACTGCAGTCCAATAAGCAAAACCCAGTGCAGCCCTCTACAACCAAGAATGATCCGAGAGGCAAGGTGTCAATAGTGTAGAAGTTGAAGAACCTTGAGCTAAAGCAGTTGTAGAATCTTCCCTTCTAAAAAGCATTCTAACCGTCCTCTTACAATAGTCTTTTGTTAAAAGTACAAACAATGCACCAAACAAAAATGCATGCAGTCAGAAGGCACAGCCAAAGGTCCATAGCCAGAGCAGGTAGTCCAGTGTTTGCATGTTTAAAGCAAGAGGTAGACATGAGCCACAAAGCCCAAGGCCCGAACTCCATTAAAGAGTGTGTAGGACAGCACTCACAGGAAACTCAAGAGACTTAAAAGATGGGGTCATCAATTAGGGGCCTGGGACTTCTAATAAGTAAGCTATTTGGTTTACGTAGCACCAGCTCCTCAAATTTCTTCTTCATTTATAAGAAAAGATTTAAGATAATGGTCCTAGGGGTTGGAGATATGGATCAGCGGGGCTCAGCAGGGCTCACGAGTAAAGAGTACTGGCTGCTTTTGCAGAGGACCTGGGTTCGGTTCCCAGCACCCACAGGATGGATCACAACCATCATGTAACTCCACTCCCTGGGGATCTGAGACTGTCATCTGACCTCCCTGGGCATTGCACGACATGGGTGCACTTACATACATGCAGGCAATACACTCATACACACAAAATAAAAATAAACTATATATATATAAAATGTCTTTTTGAGACAAGGTCTCCCTGCAGTCCCAGATAACCTGGATGCAACTCACTATGGAGACCAGGCCGGCCTCAAACTCAGAGAGATCTGCCTGCCTCTGCCTCCCCAGTGCTGGGATTAAAGGCGTGCACCACCACGCCGGGCTAAAAAAAGATAATGAGGCATACTGACATTGCACAAGCGCAAGTCCTTGTGGGAAGCCAGGGTGCAGAGCCCTCTCCGGAATCCCCAGCCCACTTTTGACTCCAGCACCGCGCAGGCGCGGGGAGGGCGGGGCGGTGTTCTGGGGCTGCGCGCGCAGTTTCCGCCCCGCCTCCCCGGAACTTCCCAGCGCGGGGTGGTGGTAGGTGTATTGTAGCAAGCGCTTCCTGGAGCGCAGGCGGGTCACGAGTCAGGTGACAGCCGCTTGACCGCGGCTTTGAAGTGCTGTGGCGTGGACGTCCTCCCCCGGTACCGGTGAGTCTCTGCTCCTGGATCGGTGGGCTTCGGGGTGAACGGTCCGCGGGGGGTGGATCCCCTCGTGAGTGCAATCGGAGGGGAGAGTCACGGGGAGTTTCTCTTGCAGGCGTGGAGACTGAACCTGCGAGAGAAAGGGGTTCATCATGGCGGATGTGAGTTGACACCCCTCCCACCTCCGCGGGGAGGTGGGAGGCTTGCTTGAGGATGCCGAGGGGAGGAGGTCGAAATTTGCTTCGCTTTTAGGCCCTTCGCCGCTCCCTAGTTATTTCCCCAGATCTGCATTGGGAGACTAGTGTGAGTGGACTTTCATGTCCAGAGTTTCGGTCCGGAGTGGTTGCGGGGGACACCAAGATGCTGAGAACATTCTGCTCTTCCCACCTAATCCTGTCAATTGGGGCATAGGAGATGCCCTGTGTGCTGAGCACTGAAATTCTCAGCGGTGGCTGGCTGCTCTTCCTGTCAGTGTGTGTTCAGTAGCAATGTGCTCTGAATCAGTTTTCCAGTAAGTGGTCGTGATTTCTCATTTAGGCTCACTGTTGCAGTCTAAAAGGCTTTCTAACAGATACCCCTTTAGCAACCCAAGTGCAGTTTTTGTGTATGTTTAAAGTGAGAGCAAACCTGTTATGTGGTGGTAACATGAGGTGAAATACTCATTCAGGTTTGGAAACTAGTATGTTCAAAACATATGGTTCGTTTAGGATAGGGGTCCAAATTGATATCTAAATTGTCAGTGAAAGTTCCCAGATGAGAGTAATGAGGCAAAATACCCTTCTCTGCTCTTAATTCTGTTACATGCTTCACACATTGTCATTTTTGTTTTAGTCATGTGAAAAAAACATAATCTGAGAGAAGCAGACCTGGCTGACTTAGTGTCATTAAAAATGATTGTGGAAAGTCTGTGTGCACATGGGCCCAAGGTGTATAGAATGTTCCCAAATGAATACCATAGCACCAGGATGTAACATATGATTGTGTGATGAAACACATAATCTGATTTCACAGAAAATATGCATTTCTAGCTCCCATTTCGAGGTACACTATATGCCCAGTTTCTTAATAACATTTAACAACATTCTCATGATAGAGGGTCTGTGATTATCTGTACAGAACAAAGAATGAACTGAGGCCAAGAGAAAGCATTAACTTGCTGTGAGTTATACAAGTAAAAAAATAAAATATTAGGAAGAAAAGTTACAAATGATGACTTAAGGTCCCTGAAAGGTAGATAAAGACAGGGCTGTGAAACCAGTGGAAAGCATACTGTAACAGGATTTTTAAAATATCCTCTTTCAGGATCTAAAGCGATTCCTGTACAAAAAGTTACCAAGGTAAGAAATTACTAATTTGTTCCTGAGTAAATTCTGTGTAACGTTAATTTTGTGTAGTATTTTGTTCTTCTAGACCAATATTTTGGTATATTGTAATTATTCACCACATTTTGGTAACCTAACATATCCCTAAATATCATAAGCAATGACCTTTGTGTCTGTAGATAAATAACATGAGGCCAGAGATGTTACATGACCTATCTGAGGTTCGATAGCTAGTGGATGCTGGAGGGTTACAACTTAGATTTCTTGCTAGTTTCAGATTTTCTAAAATACACTATAGCAGTTGTCTATTGGGTTACCATTTAGAGTTGTTACACTTTACTGAAGAAAATTCAGAATTTGCTTTTATATTAATATTGTAGTCCAGGAATATAATATAAGGCTCAGACTGCGATTCATACTTGAAAAGCACAGACACAGACTTCTTTTTTCTTTTGCCTGCACACCGTTCTTTTGGTGTTTTTTTTTTTTTTTTTTTTTTTTTGACATAGGGTCTCCCTGTAGCCCTAGCTGGCCTGGAACTCACTATGTAGGCCATACTGGCCCCAACCTCCAGAGGTACACCTGCCTCTGCCTCCCAAGTGCTGGGATTAAAGGTGAACGCCACCACGTCCAGCTTGATGTTCCATTTTTAAAAGGCTCTTGGTTAAAGTTAAACTTTTTTTTGCGTATTTTACTGATTCAAAGGACTGTCTCACTTGAACTGATTAAAATTCACATTTAGTGTAATGGAAAATGATGCCTTTATTGACACGTGTCAATCTTAAAAAAAAATTATTTTTATTTTATGTGTATGAGTGTTTTGCCTAAATATAAATGCATCCATGCATGCATTGCCCACAGAGGCCAGAAGAGGGCGTTGGGTCCCCTGGAACTGGAGTTAAACTTGTTAGCTGTCGTGTGGGTGCTGGGAACCAAACCCAGGTCCTCTGTAAGAGTAGTCAGTGCCCTTAACCACTGAGCCAGGTCTCCAGCCCAACAAGTGCCACTTCTGTCTCCACAACTGTTTACATACAGCTCAAAATTCATGGTGTTAAGGATGAGGGGGTGGATATGACTTGAGACTTGCGTTTTCACATTCCAGAATGAATAAAGTAATTCAGAATTAATTAACTTTTGACGTAGTCTAGCAGAGTATGTGATGAGGTCCTGAGATCCTCTTTTCTCATCTCTCAAATCTGAAGTTAGAAATACTTGTGGATATCAGACTTTTTTTGGACTTTTGCTTGAACCGTTGATTGTTGCTCACCTGTTGGCTTGTGTTTTTTACCCTGATTATAGATCAATGGAAATTAATGATAGTATGTTGTGCTTCTGGTTTCTATATTATGTTTTTTATGTATTCATGAAGAAAACACTATTTGGGGTGTTGAATGAAATCATGATAATCATTGATTTCATGTTAATGAAATATTTGTTAATTTTTATTTTCTTCCTCTTGATACATTGGCAAACCAGGGAAGTGAACTGCTGATTCTCCTCAGATGGATGATCAGCAGTATAGCAGTTGTCACTTTGCATACTAATGCAGATCCATAGAAATGGCCACGCAGGCAAAAACCATGCAGTGGAATCTTTGTCATCAGAAGGAAAAAAGAACAATTGCTTTGTGACCTTTAACTTTTTTTCAAAACATTAAAACTTTTTCATTGTTGATTATAAATGTTTTGAGGACTGAAAACAAATGCTGGGACTAACGTTTGCTTAGTACACTGAAACGTTAGAAACATGAAGAAAGTGAGCTGGGCATGATGACACAGACGTGTAGTGCCAGCACTTGAAAAGGTGAGGGTAGAAGTTTATGGCCAGCCTTGGCTACATAGTAAGTTCCAGGCCAGCGTGGGCTACCTAAGATACTTTCTCAAAAGAAAACAGGACTAGTTAAATGGCTCAGAGGGTAAAGGAGCTCTGACGGGAATCCCTGGGCTCTACATGGTAGGAGACAACCAACTCCTATAGGTTGTCCTCTGACCTCCAGATGTGGGCAGCACGCATCCTCCTTCCTCCGAAAAATGTAATAAAAAAAAAAAATTAAAACAGTCGCGACCAAAAACCAAAAGAAAGAGACATTGAGAAAGTGTTTTATTCCATTGCAAAAGGAAAAAAAAATGCTATCAAGAGTAGTTCAAAGGAGTCTCTTTTCCTCCACATGCCTTCAGGTGAGGAACGGGCATACTTTTTTCTGTGCCTTTGCAAACTCATACTTCATTTATATCAGCTTTCCACATTTTAACCTTTGTATTTTCCTTATAGAAATCTCTTGAGATTTCCTTTAATGTGCTTGTTGACATATGTGTTACGATGTTTTCATCCAGCCACTTTTCGTACTTAAATTAGTAAGTTCACTCCACTGAGGGTCTCTGGGTTCCTAACTGAACAGCTTTAATGTTGACCAGACTTAGTTAAATGTTTAATTAAATTAAATTACTTTAAAGGTAAATGTTTTTGAATTCTGACAATTTACCTTTTAACCAAAGGGAAAGCATCCTGTGGTAGTTCTCATACAAGAGATGTATTCAACTTACTGTGTGTAAAGGGCTGAGGGTGTAGCTCAGTGACAGAGGGTTTTGCCTAGCACTCGCAAGGTGCGCAGCCCAGCCTCCAGACTACAAAAGAACACAGGGGAAGAAGATGTGTAATAACCAGATGGCAGGATAGGGACTAGGGTCATCTCTTTGTTTTCCATAAGGACAAGTCCAGTCTGATTCATGTTTGCAGATCATTTTTTGAAAACAGGCTTATTACATAATAAGAACAGAGAGAATGAAGAAATAGTAGGATTATGAACACTGTGATTATTGCTAGATACCTGGGTTTGGATACTTGTGTGGTTCTCAATGAAGTCAGCTAGTTCCAGGCATTGATAGACTGTATCTCCTAAATTCCCTCTTAAATATTGTTCTTGGATTTGTAGTTGTGACCCAAAGGAGTCTTAGGTTTTAATAATCACAACTTCTCATGTTTTAATCAATTATTTCATAGCTATGAAAAACCTGAGTATGGTTAGTATCTTTTGTGGGGCATGGATAAGATGTGAGGGAGTGAACTCAGGACCTTGTGTATGTTCAGCAAGCACTCTACCTCTGAACTACACCATCAGCCCCAGTATGATCTCTTTAATATGAAAGTAACACTTGTTTTTTAGAATAAAATGAGTTATTTTTTAGTCAGCTTTAGATTTTTGCAGAATATTTTGTAAAATTTAATTTGTTTCTTATAAGTGTGTCCATTAATGACACAACAGTTATTAATATTAATAAGATCTGTTCATATTACTCTTTGTCTACTGTGTGTAGAATAAAAAACAAGTTTTATGCTTGTGACATGATTTCGAAAAACAAATGGAGACTATGGTTGTTCTATTTTCTTAGGCTGTGTCTCTGGATTTGTAATCCATTTAAAAGAACATTCTTTTATTTTTACTTCCTCTTTTGGCATATAAGTTATTATTTAAATTAGTTGCTATGGAAATTAGAAAAACAAAGTTACCCATGGTGTACAAATTTTTCTAAACATTTTCATAACATACTCTTTACCTCTTTTTAATTTGCTTATTTTTCAAGTAAATGAAATATTCATAAAATTCAAGATTGAGAAGCTAACTGAGTGATATACAGTAAAAAGTTTCCCATCCCTGCCCTCCTGTCACAGTTCTATTGTTAGAAACATCTGTTGTCTATCAGAGATATCGATACATTTACAAACATGGATGTAAGGACATGCATTCACACACACTTAACACATTTTGTTGCATAATTTGTTGCCTCTTACATGCGTTATTCAGAACTGGAGTTTCTTTTTCACTTGGGAATATAACTTTGAGGGCTGAGGAAATGGCTCAGTGGGTAAAGAGCTTGCTGTACAGGAGTGAGGACCTGAGTTTGAATTCATAGGACTCAGTTGAAACCAGGGCTCATGTGGTGAGATGGGAGGTAGAGACAGAGTCCTCACACACTCAGGGGCCAGGCAGCCTGGGCATCAGCGGTGAACAACACAGAGACCCTGTCTCCAGCAAGGTGGAGAGGAGGACCGACACCTGAGACCACCTCTTTCCTCTTTGTACACGCTGTCATATACTTCCCCACATTCTTTCACACTCACACAAAATTTTTAAAAAAGAATACAGCTTTGAGATCAGGCCTGCTTACTTCCCTCCTCTTCAGTTACCTGATGCTGTAACATCTCAACTGAGATATTACATCCCATTTGTAAGTTCCTTGTCCCTCCTGGTCTCTTCATGGCACTTCCACGGTTATAGTTTTCTTAGTGTGAGATGGTTTGAAAGTCACTCATCTTAGGTTATAAGCTTGGTGGTGTTGGTTCTATTTTTTTTTTTATCTTTTAAAAAATTTTATTTATTATTTTTACTTTATGTGTATGCATGTGTTCCCTGCATGTAGGTAAGTGCACCTGTGTCGGATCCCCTGGGACTGCAGTTACGGACAGTTGTTAGCTGCTATGTGAGTGCTGGGATTCAAACCCGGGTCTTCTGCAAGAACAACCAGTGTTCTTAACTGCTGAGCCATCTCTCCAGCCCCAAATATTTTTTTTTAAACTCTTTAAAAAAAAAACTATTTTGTGTGTATGAATGTATTGCCTGCATGTGTGTAAGTGCACCTGTGTAGTGCAGTGCCCAAGGAGGTCAGAAGAGGGCGTAAGATTCCCTCAGAACTGGAGTTATGGAAGGTTGTTAGCTACCATGTGGGTGCTGGAAATTGAACCCCTGTCCTCTGCAAGAGCAGCCAGTGCTCTTAACTGCTGAGCCATCTTTCCAACCCCTCAGTTCTAATTTTGTTTATCATAATATCATAAAGTATTAAGTGCCTTAAAGTCTGGATACTCGGAATTGGAAAGAATGAGGAAAGTGAAAAGAAGGCTCTTCTGTTTTTATTTTTTGCATTTTAATTGAATTTTTATCATTCTTATATGATATAGTTTGATGCATTTAGATCCTCTCCCCTCTCCCAACTGCCCCCTTCCAATTTAATGAGCTCTTCTTATGTTTTTATTTTTGTTACTTGTCACCACCGCTGAACCCTTTTCTACCTTTGTAAACCGCGGAATGATAAAACATTAGAAACTTTACTCTTCATTAATAAATTGTACATATTTGTAAATATTCTAAACACATCAGGAATACACATTTGTTGAATTTCTGGAACAGATTTCATCAGCTCATAGGAACAAAGTATAACATTACCCATAGTTTTTCCAGAAATATGCCTGAAACGGGGCAGGAGATGTAGCTCATTTGTAAACCACTTGCCTAGAGTATGTAATGCCATGAGTTCAGTCCCTAGTGCTGTAGGAGAAAACAAGAAATATGTATGAAATTACCATTATGGTTCTGAGGTACATATTTTTAGGAAATAAAAATGATTTTGTAGGGGCTGGAGAACATAGCTCAGTGCTTAAGAGCTGTACCTGCTCTCTTGCCAAAGACACAGGTTTTGTTCCCAGCACCCACATGGTGGCTAACAACTGTCCATAACTGTAGTTCCAGGGGATCTTAACGCCCTTTTCTGGTCTCTATGGCATTGCACAACACAGGAGAACTTACATATCTGAGGCAAAACACTCATATAATAAAATAAATTTATTTCTAAAATAAAAATAAATTTTTAAAAATGATTTTGTAATATTAACCTTTCTTTCTTTGTAGTGTTGAAGGGCTCCATGCTATTGTTGTCTCAGATAGAGATGGGGTACCTGTTATTAAAGGTAAAACTGAGTACTGAAATGCATATGTCATGTTTCCTTTTGACTAAACTTTTAGTATGTTTTTATATTTGAACAGCAAAAGAGGAAAATACAAAAAATTTATTTCAGTATATCCAGAAGATTTTCAGCTTGGCGAGGGGGGGGGGTGCTAAATGCTGAGTCAGTATGGACTCAGATTATTTTTACTGTTTTATCTTCTGAAATGATCTGAGTGGATGTTACTAGATTTACTTACCAAGGATTAAAGGTTAAGTAATGTTTTAAGCATGTGTCTACAGTTTCTGTTCATATTGGGTGTACGTGTCAGATAGTTTGACATTGGGAGTGAAAGGTGCTTTAGAGGTCTCCTCTTTTCGTTCTTCCATTTTATACACCAACATGGTCAAATGCAGAGTACATTGCCTGTGTAGGTGGTGCATTGAGTCAGTGACAAGACATGATAGAGCCCGTCCTCTGATGTGTCACCGCCAGGCAACACGGGAGGCCATGGGCAGGTCACCTGCCTTTTCTCAGTTCTGTAAAGAGTGCTCAGATAATTTTCCAGCTCTAATGTTCTCTCATAGAACCTGTGAACATCTGGAGCACTGCACTTACTCGTGCCCCCAATGCCAGTCCAGCCATTAGTGGATAAGAGGGAAATGAGACAGGTAGCTAGCTATGGGATTATCGCTGTGGGAGACATTGCTGTGGTGGCTTTTATGAGGGAAAAGATTTTGGAGCTTTTTTTCATTTTATCGTAGCTAACTCTAAGATAACCAAAATAATTTAATTTCTTAAGTGATTTAAAAAGTGAGTCAGGCCGGGCGTGGTGGCGTACGCCTTAACTCCCAGCACTTGGGAGGCAGAGGCAGGCGGACTTTTGTGAGTTCAAGTCCAGCCTGGTCTACATAGTGAGTTCTAGGACAGCTGGGGCTACAGGGAGACCCTGTCTCAAAAACACCA